CTTGTAGAATTAAAATCAGAAGGAATGAAACCTCTATTCCTGTAAACCTTTTATAACAAACTTGAAACCAACAAGTTAACATATATATTTCCTTTATAAATCACTTTTGCACACCTTCTTGAGGTACCTAGGCCTTTTGGTCTTGTCCAGCTAACAAGACAAACATATAAAATCCTTTATATCAAAAATATATCTTTTACTTATAGCATTTTAAATATTTTGTCTCTGACTCACTATAAACCTTCTATGAGGCAGAGAGTTGTATGGTCTCTGTGAACTCTATCTGCCTAGCCTAGCTGAGAGTCCCATTGTGGGAAATTTTTTGATATAGACATCAAGATTAGAGAAGAAGGAGCCTAAGCATTTTTTAATTTGAGAAAGATCAAAGAAAGAGAATGGCACATGTACATGCACAAGCATGGGATGAGGCAGAAGGGTTTAGAGGGTTATAAGGTGGGGGAAGTGTGAGTGGTGAGTGATCAGCTGGATAGAATGTTTTGGAATCAGAAGGAGTGGAATCAGGAAGGGTGGGTGGCAAAGCTCAGGGTAGAAGTACTTGAGAAGGAGAACAGGTTTGACAGAGGGAGGGTCGAGAGCATAGGTAGAAAAAAGGCTTGTACGTAAGGGATTTCTGACCATTTGCCATTTCACTGACAGAAGTTGTGTAAATCACACAGTATGTTAAAATCGAAAGTGCCATTTTTGGGCCTTGGAAACCCATTATCTAATTTATACTGAGGCCAAACCTGATTACAATAGAAAACAAGTCTTTTTGGCTTAAAGTCTGGTCCCAACAATCTGAGGGGTTTGAGTTGTGCCAGAAGGCAGCCCGGAGGTGTTGAAGGGCGGGGTTTGGATTGTTGGGCCCCCTGGTTAGAGCGGGTGAGGAGGAGGCAGCCCCTGGGGAGAAAGACAAAGGGGAGAAGCGTCCTTGTCTCCTTTGACAATTTCCGAGTGAGTCTCCCAGAGGGAGAGAACGAGAGGAGGCGGGCCGATGGAACGTCTCCCAGGGGCACGGTCCTGGGCCCAGCGGCCGTGGGGGTTTCTCTGACCAAGCACTTGGATTTCTGAGAAGTCCCCGGAGGGAGAGAGAACGAGACAGAGAACCCGACGAGAGGGAGGCTGAACTCCCTACTCACCCAGACATTGGAGACCAGTGTGGATGTGTAGTGTCAGCAATGGCAAAGGTAGAAAGCCCCGGAGGGTTCTGGCAACGGCAGATAGGGTCCGTCCAATGGAGATGGCCAAAAGGTCAATCAACCCCGTCCTGCGGGGAATCGTCCATTAATGGACCATCTACCATCCGAGTCACGGCACCAGAAATGTCAGGTAAAAGGCCGAAGACCAAGACCAGACCAGGCCACAACAAGCCTTTATTAGGGGAATAGATCTGCCAGGCTCTCTCTGAACAAAGGAGAGACAAAAGCAATATGGCCAGGGCAGGGAGAGTCTTTTATAGAGACTGGGGTGGGGTTTGTAGGGGCTGAGGTGGGGTTGAGTGAGGTAGTGACTAGGGAATGGAGAAGCCAGTGATGTCACTAGTGGTAGGAGGTGAGCGAATATTAGGTTACTTTCTAGGCCAGAACAGGGGCATGCTGGGAAGAAGGGTTTATTCTTTGGTGGGAGCAACCATCTTGGCATGACATCACACAGGGGAGGGGGCAAGGCACGATAGGAAGAGGGCAGCTACGATACAGAATAGCTGCTGAGGTAGTGGGAGACCTATCACTCAATACACAGATCTTTGGATAATCCCAAATCCCATGAGTTGAGAATAACCAGCTCCTGTGGATCTGAGATCAGATTATGACTCTGCTACTCATTAGCTATATAATTCTGTGCTAATCACTTAACATCCACCTCTGTTTTCTCACTTCTAAACTAGAGATGATACTCCCAACTCTGCAAGGTTATGAAAATTAGGCAACTTTCATGAAAGTAGTCTATCAATTGAGATGTTTCATAGAAACTTTATTTAAAACAAAATTGCCAGCTTAATCTCAAAAGAGCCCCAGAAGGGTAATGGAATGTTTGTACCTCTTTCAATCAAGAGGGACTCTAGATCTATCAGCTGTGGTTGGCGACTTTGAGAATGTTGAAGGGCAAAGAATGCAAAAATGCCCTACAGTGACTGTTGAGGAAATGGTCTTTGCTATTATCAATGTGTAATTTATATAACCACAGAGACATCTAAATCCTGTATATCACATGCTTCTCAAAACAGTTTCACCTACATTATTTTATTTTATTGTTTATTTATTTGTACCTGGGATCGAACTCAGGACCTTGTGCTTGTGAGCCAGGCATGGTGCCACTAAGCTAAATCCCCAGCCCATACATTATTTTATTTTGCACTCACTTAACCCTCCAATAATTGGGCTTTACCAACTAAAACTGTACTGCTTGCTTTGTAACTATTTTTTTCCTTACTGGAAGGAGCACATCTGAATTTCAAAATTCTTCCCATCAGGCACCTTAATTTAGAACTGGTCCTTAGACCCCCAGATCAGTCTTCTGTTTTATGAATCCATATACCACAGTGTACCTTATACTGTCTTGAACTCTAGTCATTTGTATATTCGTCTTAATCTCAGCCTCTCCTCCTCCATTTTCTCACTAAATTTATAAATTCTTAGACGGGAAGGAAGAAAAGGGAATGACTCCTTTGTTGTTGTTGTTGTATACCAGTTCCATTTTTAAAAGGCATGAGTGTATGTGTGTATTTTACTAGGAATTGAACAGAGGGCTTTGTACACGCTAGAAAAATACTCTGCCACTGAGCTACATCCTCATCCCTTATCAAAGCTTTTTATTGTGTAAATGTTCATATATATCATATATATTACATGCAGTTTCACATACGTAGTAAAATAAACATACATATACCCAACAATCGGCAACACAGGGACAAATATCACATCTATACCTCCATCCCTTCTGCCCTCTGACTTTGGATAATTTTAAAGCAAATCCCAGAAGCCTATCATTTCATCCATAAATACTCCAATATAAACGCTACCTTTTGCATGTCTTCATCCCCTACAATTACAAAATGATTCCCATCTGTGTCTCTACTACTGGGAGCACATCAGATTATTTTTGAGCATATAGGACAGCCAGACCTTCTGTTTGGTTCTAAAGGTTCCTTCTGAGATAGTGAGGCACAATAGTATCAAACTATGATGTTCTAAACCAAGACTGCTTGGGTTGCAGGGAGTGAGCACAGGCTGCACGTGGGAGGTCAGGAACAGGATCTTGAATTGCACTACCTGAACTGAGCAGAGTCTGTTCTCATCTCATGGTAACCCTGCTTTTGAACTTGCCGCACGCTGCGGGGTCTCCAGTAGGAGGCGCTGCAAAGAAGAGGCGGGATAAAGGATGGTGCTCGGCAGCAGTCTTCAGTCGCCTCAGAAACCTCCGAAAGCAGTCAGCCCTCGCTGCGGGTAAAAACAGCAAGCAACAACACTGTTTAATAGGTAAAAGGGAACCCGGGTGCCAGAGCCCAAGTGGGCACCGAGGTTGAGGTGCAGGGGCTCGGACTAGGCCTGGCACCTGCTCCAAAGGACCTCTCCATGCTGCCAATTGTCCTGATTTGCTGCTGGTTCCCGCCCCAACTGTCACTCTTCCTGATAGAATATGTAGAAGCAGAGCACAGGACAGGGCAAGGAAACACCTGTTTCTAACCAGAAAAGAGGTGGGAAGAAACCCTACCAGGCTTCCAGTGGCCTCTTTTCGAGCTTGCTCTTGAGAGTCTTGTAAAAGCGTGCCCAGAAAGCCAGAAGAGATCATTTTTCAAAAAAGATAGTTTTCTATCTCTAACTCCTCCCTCCTTTTCCCAAGCTGTAACGTCCCTTCAGGAAAAAAAATTTTTTAGTCTTCTTTCCTCCGTGGGATTTCCCGCTCCTCCCAGACCGCTCAAATCTCCTGCCTTGCGCGACTCCAATCCTAAATTTTGCCACAGCATTCGCTTCCAGATTTTTCACTTCTAAGCCCCTTGCCAACCTACAGGTGGGGAGTCGGACTATGAGGCAGCGGAACAAAGGAACCAGAGAGCCCCTGTCCCGAGCCAAACACCCCCCCACACACACACAGCCTCTTACAAGCAGAGGAACCAGAGAGGTTCTGGAGCGCATGAATTCCCCAAGCCTCTGTTTCATGGCACTTTCCAAAGGCGAGCAACCTGAGATTGCATGGAAGGTAGGGACAGCCCCAGCGCAGCAGACGGACAGACAGACAGACTCCCACGGAACAGGCCTGAATGGCCGTGGGCTCCGAAGGCCTCTATGTACTGGGCTCCGTTATTTCATCAGCAGTTTCAGAAAAACCTGCCAAAAGCAGTTATGCCTCACTGCAATGTGTAGCTTTTTCCTGCCATTTTTTTTTTTATATAATAAAAGAGGGAGTGAAGCTCGCTGGCTCTCTCTCCCCCCCTCCCCCTCCCAAAAAGAGCCAAATGGATACGGTAAGAAAGAAACACACACACACACACACACACACACACACACACACACACCCCCCAATCTCTGAGGGGATGCCAGTGAGGTGTGGCTTGTATTTAAATATCCAATATGTCAATGTAAGGGGAGTGGGTATGTATATAAAGTGCCGTTTGCATTTGATAGCTCGACGAAGCTAGCAATGAGAGGCCCCGAGAGATGGCTGTGGAGGGGAAGCGGCACTTTGATTGAGAGCAAGGTCAGGAGCGCGCTGCCCCACGCTCTCCTCCACTAAGAAGTTCCTTGGACACGAACAGACGTCGACTGCAGCTGGACAGGACGCAGAGCGAAGGAGCTAGCGAGCGCCACCGAATCCCCCGCGCCCGCCGCGGGAAGAGGCAGTTCGCGCGCGCCCCGCGGTCCAGGCTCGGCCCCGGAGCGTCCCGCACAGCCAGCGCCGCCGTCGTCCTCGCCATGGCTGAGGTGGGGGGGGTCTTCGCCTCCCTGGATTGGGATCTGCATGGCTTCTCTTCGTCTCTGGGGAACGTGCCCTTAGCTGACTCTCCGGGTTTCCTGAACGAGCGCCTGGGCCAGATCGAGGGGAAGCTGCAACGCGGCTCGCCCACGGACTTTGCCCACCTGAAGGGGATACTGCGGCGGCGCCAGCTCTACTGCCGAACCGGCTTTCACCTAGAGATTTTCCCCAACGGCACGGTGCACGGCACCCGCCACGACCACAGCCGCTTCGGTGAGGACCCGGCCGGGAGGGACGGGAGATGGGCGGACAAGTAGCTGGGGCGCCGACGGCTCTAGGTTCCGGCGTGGGGCCCGGCGACCCCCCCCCCAACTTGGAGCGGTCTTGGCCGGTCTAGGCGGGACGCGACAGCGCGTACCAGAGCAGCGCGCTTCCTGGAGCCCCGCGCCCTGCGACGCTCTCGGGAGGGGGTGGAGGCCCCTTGTGTTGTGGCTTCTCATTTACCCACTCCATCCTCCCACACTTGGGAGCCAGGAGCTGTTCTGGAAGTTGGGCACTGAGCCTCCGACCAAAGCAGGTGGAGCTGGGAGAGGAAGGAGTTGGAGCCCTCGCCTAGGAGACCGGGGATCGTGGCTGCTGCGCGGGGGCCAAGCCTCAAAGGCACCAGGCCTGTCGTGGCTGATTGCCTGGAGCAGGAGCCTGCTTGAGCCATGGGTGTGGTGGCCAGACAGCCCGCGTCCGAATCACTTTTAACTGGCAGAGATTGGGCACCTGTCTGCCTTGAGATTGCTCTACCCAGGGTGGGAGCCAATCCAGGCAGCACAACATAAGTGGGGTATCAGGGAATCTAGGAAACCTTGAGGTGTCCACCATTTAAGAATGGGCATAAGTCCTGACCTCTGGACTTGTTGCCTTAGTGAGGAAACCATCCTGAGCCCACTCCTAGCCTCCAAAACAAGTGTCTCCCAGGCCCAGGACAGCAAATATCTAATTTCCATCCAGGATTGTAATCTGCTTGCCCACCACTATGCAGATTGTTCAAAGGACACAGCTGCCTGTCTCACATAGAGAACTAATTGCACAATTAATATAAGCCTTGATGGGACAGAGATTATTAGGTTTTCAAGCAAATGTGTTCCCTCCTCAGTAATTTGTCATTTTTAGTTTCAATTTTCTATTCCCTATTAACGCATCACACAGGTGCTTTAACAGCTGCCTCTCCTCAAGGGCACCTTCTACTCCTAAACCAGTAAGAGGCTCTACATACCATCAAGCATGACACAGTTCCCTTTTTTTTCCCACCTACCTCCACCCTCCAAACTTCCCCATCCTCCTATTCTCCTTGCCTTGCTAGAGCTGCATCTGGTGCTCACAGTAAAAGGGAGGCCAGTTTCTGGCTAAGGGCAAATCTAGCAAACAACTTAGGGCCAGGGTTGGTCTTCCTTTCTGGGAGCAGGCAGGAACTCTAATGAGGTCTATCTCATCTTGGAAAAATGCACTCAAACAGAGCTGGAGTACAGTAGGTTGGGAGGGGTAATGGAGGGGTGCAGGTGTCTGCATAAACTTGCAGCAGGTCCTCAAAAGGGTGATAAGGTGGGGTTAGAAAAGGAGTGTTAACTTGACTCCTTTCCCTTCTGTCGCTTGTGATTTTGCAGTCCTCTTTTGTTCCTCTTCATGAGAAATGGGCCTCCCACACTGGCTTCAGAGATTCCCAGAAATTGGAATAATATAGTTCTTATATAA